CCTGATGGTCCAGACAGGATTATGCTAGTTAGAGCGATGGATGGATGGATGGATGGATGGATGGATGGATGGATGGATGGATGGATGGATGGATGGATGGATCTGATGGATGACTGTTGGACCTGCTTACTTATGCTGTACTTGAACAAAACTGAGCTGGTGTAGCTCAGTTCCACCAAGCCTCTGACTTTATTCAAACCCATGCTGATCTCATACATAAGACATGGGTGGGTTCAGCAGGTTTATTCCCAGTCATCTTATGTCTTCACATGACATACTTTTTCATGTTTGCCCAAAACATTCAGTTCTGCTGCCAGTGAGTTTGGAGACAATCTCTTGAACGACAAATGTAAACTGACAAATGACTGTAAACTAGAGTCACAGGAAAATGACATGATGCCATGGCAATGTCATGGCACCCCAAGAACACACTTGTGCATTAATAGCAACAGTTTGTTTTTCCAATGACTTTTTTTTTTTTTCAGGATTGTACTTTTTTATCTTATTTTCAGAAGAAAGTTATACATTTGGGATTACTAGTGTCCATTGATAGCGGTGGTCAAATACCCCCACCTACTGTTCAACGCATTATTTAATGTCATAGTTTTTGTCTAGTTTTCTTGAGGGTTTTTTTATCTCTTCCTCAAATGCTCCCTTCTCTTTCTTCTGGTTTCTTTTTCAGAATTATGGGTGTGTGTTTGTGCATGAGAGAGAGGTATTCTCTGATTTAAATGGACTGAAATACTAAGGAATTTTTTAGGATTTTTATTATTTATTCATTTATATATATATATATATATATATATATATATATATATATATATATATATATATATATATATATATATATATATATATATTATTATTTTTTTTTATTTTTTTTTTGCAATTGTACAATAATTGTATTACACTAAACACATCAAGTCATTCTTAAGAGATTGTCACTTAGCATTTTACAGTGGAAATTGACTCTAAGAAGAACTGCGTCATGCGTCATGCTTATTTTTTCTTCTTTCACTTAATGGTCATTTACAGTATGCTGCCTTAACATATCATTTTATTAGACCGCTCTGGTATTTCTGAATGGCTAGAGACAGAGAAAGATGTTCTTTGCAGCCAGATGGTTTAGTTACGTTATCTACCAAACATGTTACACAGCAACACCTTCAACCCTTGGGCATAACCTAGAGCCGCATTTCTCCACTCTGTATATATGATACGTTTGTTCCAATCCTGTAATTGTTTGATTACTATATATACACACACATTAATCAGGCATTGCAATCATAGGATTGGAAGGAACTAATGTGCATTTGGATGACTCTACTGAAACAGTTGGAGGAATACAGATGATCTAATGTGTTTTTACATGCAATAAATGGCCCACACACTTATTTTAAGAATAAAATGCTGACAACACCAATCAAGGGGTTTGAGGTGGGTTTTAAATTTAATGTAAAACTTGATATTGCATCAATATGGTTTGTCCACATTTTAAACATATTTGGATTGGAATAACAACATTTGTATAATCCAGTTTTTAAATAACCCATTTTTAAGTTTATACGCTTGATTTAATGCAATTTTTTATGAATGCTTAAAGAATTGAAAACATTTTTATACATTTTTTGTTAAAATCAAATACAAATACTGTATCTACTTGTTCACGTAAACCTGCTCTACATTTTATTATGCCATAATGTCAACTTTCTTCTTTCACACTATAAAAAAGCTCGTCAGGTTGTTCACAGATGAGAAGCTAAATCTAGATCATCTCACCATCTTTTACAAAGAGCAGAAACACCTAATTGATGAGTCACCAATATGTGGATCTATTAAATGCGTAGATTCATAAAAGAAGAAAAGATTGTCTGAATCGCTGTAGCAGTTTGCTAATCTGAGGTAAGAAACTTGCTAGAGTGTTTCTGCATAAAATGAAATAAAATGGGGTTTATTTATTTCCAACTGAAAGGTTTTATTAGTTCATCAATGTCAAATTGGATTTCTAAAAATTACAAAAATGAACAGATGAAATTTTTGTACCCCAGGTGTCTTTGCAGGCAATTTAATTTTGAGCAAATGGATTTAAGTTTTTCTTTTTGGTTAAGGTTTTGAATATCTATAATGATTAGCGAATGGTAGATATACACTGTATAATAATATTATACATTACTTCTGACATAGAGTGCACGGCATACAATCTCTTTTAAATGTATATTTTCTATATAGGATGCTCTGCAATAATATAGATACATTAGATTAGTCAATAGCAAAGCTAAATTGATTGATTGCAATACCTCATTGAATTTTAAATTACACTTACACCAAACACTTATGGTAATGAATATAAGTTATAACTGTTTAGGAAAACTAAAGGGTATTGTCCATATTCACTGAGATATAGACAAAAATATAATTTTTAAAGGGGTTGCACTAATTCATGCTATGCACTGTAGTTATTTTTTTTAATGTTGATATTATTGCATAAATATACTATAGTACTATTAAAATAAATTCACCACATATTTAATGACAATTTACTGATCAGAAAAAAATTATTGCACAACACTGCAAAAAAAAAGCAAATTTTTATCTTCTTCTTTTTCTAATTTAATATGTCTATGTGCAATAGTGATTGTTGAGCACAGTGGCTTTGGGGATCTATGGTTTCCTCATTATTATCAGGCTATTTTAGTCGAATCATATAATTATTTCTGGTAAAAGAAACTGGAAGATGAGGTTGTCTCAAATAAACAGTCTGTATGTTCTACAGTGCTCAGCATATACAAGTACACCCCTCACAAATCTTTTGAATTCATATTTTTAATAAGAAGCTATACAATATTTTATTTGTGCATATACATTAGATTACGTGTCAGTGCGTCTCTCCGTGAAGCCAAATATGGAGCTTATCCAACAAAATACTGGTTCAAAAACTAGTACACCCTAATTTATGTTTTAGAAAAATATTAAATAGAAATTTTAAAAATAGAAAAAAATCAAGAGAAGCCAAAAAAAAAAAAATACCAAATTTTGTTACATTTTAATTTTAAATTGAAATTTTTAATTTTGTTAAATTTTTAATTTTGTTAAAATTTTGTAGGTTGTAATTTTTATTTTTAGTTGTTTGCAATATTTTGCTTGAATTTAATTGTATTATCTTTCAATTTCTAAATATGTTTGGTGACTAAAATATTATTGTAATAAATAAATCTGTTTAATAAATCTGTTTTGTTTAAATGCACCAAAATACATTGCCTATGTTCACTGAGAACTTAAAAATATTTATTTTCAAATTGTGGTGTACTCAATTATGCTGAGCACTGTATATCAAAATTGTCAGAAGACTCAGAAATGCTGATAATTAATGAAAATAATCATTAAAAAATACGTGCAAGACAAAAAAAATCAAACAACACATCAACGTTGGCATGCACTGGTTAGTACTCACCTTTAGGTCGTGTGGGTTTGAATTTCTGAATTATTGACGCATTGCTACAGGTGGCGTTAACTTCCACGCTTAATGCAGAGATGTTCATGCTGGAATTATCGGGAGTTCTTGAGCATTCCCAACCCGGGATCTGAGTTTCGTTCAGTCTCTGTATATCCATTCCAGAAAACTTGTAAGAGCAGCCTATATTATTTCTAAATGAACATAAAGCTATTTTAATAGAGATATTACATATATGTCCCTAAAAAATAATTATACTTTGCGCCATGAATTATCTAAAACCTTTTTATATGAATAAAATTCTGCGTTTCCATTGCTGCTCTTTCACGCGCGTCTGTGAGAAAAAGCCTTGTGCGCGTGAAACTGTTGTAGCTCTGATGAGCGAGTCGCGTGGGTAGACTGCTTGAAGAGTGTCAGCATAGAGGGAGGGGTGATTATAGAATGGGAGGGGGAATTACAAGAGTAACAAGCTCGCTTAACAGTTAACAGGCTAGCGGCTTTTGGCTGATGGAATGTATAAGTCCTGAGTCGCCCCCCAGCGGGTGCCTTGTGTTACGCCTATCGTTGGTTGATCATTGAAAGGTCGCATGATAAGAAAAAAAAAAGAAAATGCCAACTGCTTCAGGCTAACCAATAAGGGGTTCAGACGGTTCAGACCTCTAAACTACAGGCCTTTCATGACATGTCGTTTTCATTGTGTGTGTGTGTGTGTGTGTGTGTGTGTGTGTGTGTGTGTGTGTGTGTGTGTGTGTGTGTGTGTGTGTGTGTGTGTGTGTGTGTGTGTGTGCTTGTGTGTGATTGGTAGGCCCATAGCCTATATTCCTCACGTTTTGAAGACAATTTTTAAGGAAAAAAACATTTGCTCCCAATAAGAAAAACGAAGAATTTTGTTTTGAACCTGCAAAATATTTTATGTAAAGGTTGGTTTAAGGGGTAGCGAAACATACGTTCCTGTGCCAAATGCACTCACATACACACATTTTACAGTTAAATACCCTGAGGCTTATACATTTTCTAAATGTTTTTATTGAAATCTAGTCTTTAGTCTTTTTAAAATTAGTTTAGTTAGTTAGTTATTATTATTAGAGTGGGGTTGTACAAAATAGTTAACCTGATTTAAAAGTAACAGATGTCAAAAGTGATACAGTTCTTGAGGGTTTGGTTCGAGTTAGGTTAAAGCTAAGGAATAAATTATTTATTTGGTTCGGAAACAAAAATCATTATGTCTGAGGTAATTACTCTTAAAAAATGAATTGCCGTACCCACTGTAAATCACAAAATACAGAAACTGTTCATGAGCAGATATTTTTTACGGTGTATAAACAAAATCTTAATTGATCATGTTGATAAAATAATATTAATACAGGAGTAAACCAAAAACAAATATATATATATATATATATATATATATATATATATATATATATATATATATATATATATATATATATATATATATATATACATTTAGACCTTCGTAATTTACTTTTTTTTGCTATAGTCATTTCTCTTCCATTTTGCATCTTTGAATAAGAAACAAGTACAGCAGAACCTTTTGCAACAAATTATGTTAATCACTTTAACAAAATAATTTTGAGTAGTATAAGTGTAGTATATAAACTGATGCTGAATGTTTTCTGTCTTTAAAATTAAAAAGGGTTGGGAGATCAAATTATACAGTTCAGAAATCACTGTACATAATAAAAATCTAATATATTATTTTGGCTACATTTAATAGTAAATTAAATGAAAATATATAAAACAGAAAATACATTAATGTAATTGGACTTGTCTCTGGATGCCACTGATGCTTTTGGCTTTCAGATCTGTTGTTGTTTTGATGGTCTTCTTAGAGAGGTTTTGTTACAGTAGATGTTGTCAAACAGTTCCTTGGTTGTATGTAAAAACCCTGCCGGGTTGGATGTTGAACCCCCTGCCATTTCCGGCCACATTCTCTGTCCTTGAAGAAACCAATTTGTCTTGGCTTGATCTGATGCACCGACACAGGAAAGACATTAAAAATACAGTCAATGATGTAGTCATTCAACATCAGCAACAGCAATCATCAACCAAATACTACCCCTGCCCAAATATTTGATTTACCCGCAAGATAGTGATGCAAGTCATGAGCACTCCGTATGTGGCCAGAAGTCCGAAAGCTACCCACAAATTCAGATGATTACTTTGCTGACAAAGATCAGGTCTTTTTTCTGACCTGGCTATTCACAAACAAATTTCTAGTCATATAATAGTATGCTTAATGTAATGTGTTAATGATGTACAATGCTGCAAATGGTCTGTTTTATGGTAACATCAATTTCAAACGTACCTTCAACAAACACAATAGTTTGTGGTTTGTGGTCCACATACTTAAATGGAGGTGGATAGCTAATGCTGGCCTCACAGGTGTACAGGGCTGTCATATTCACAGTCACAACAGTTAGGATGAAGCTGGAACTGTTATCCAAATCAACACTGAATTCGGCAGGGAACTCCTTGTTTGTGTTTGTTTTGGGGATGGACGTATGATTTATCTTCACATAAATGGAGATGACCTCATCACCGTCTTTAAACAATCTGAAGTCCATTTCTGGTGCACTGAGTTTAGGGCAGGCCACTTTAACGGTACTGTTCAGTGGCACATACTCGATCAGTGGGAGTTCGCCTGCAGTGCAGAGGAGTACAATTATTCAAATATAGCTCCATTATTTAAGCCTGCATCGTACAATTTCTATTGATAATTATCATCATTTACTCAAATTGTTCCAAACCTGTATGAGTTTATTCACACAAAAAAATTAAGTGCAGAAAGTGCTGGTATCAGAACAGTTGATGGTCACCATTGACTTCAATAGTAAAAAAAAAATAATAATTGTATGGAATTTAATGGTGGCTTCAACTTGAAATGGAACTCAATGGTGACCAAACACTCTGGAAGTTAATAAGTCTTTTAAAGCATTTGTTTTAAAAAGTCATTGTAAATTCATTGTTCTCTAAAATGTATTCCTTTATTTTTATTCTTTTTTTGCCTGTTTTTAAGATCCCCCATAGACTCTATGTATCCTATGTTACAGCTAAACTGCAATATATGAAGATGTATGGTTTTTTACTTGAAGATACAGGCACTTTGGGATTTTGAGATTACATTTTCTTTTTTTTTTACTTGGCTGGTATGAATAACATTATAATTGATTAATGTGCATTGACATACTGTATGTGCTCAGATCATTCCACATAATAGTTTCTTGATTTCACATTCTTTTATAACTTTCATAACTGCAATGTGGAGAAATGTTGTCATAGAGACATGCTTTGGAAACAAAAAAGGAAAGACTGAATCATACTTGTGCACCGTGATTAACTCTCTCAGCATAATGTTTTCTGCTGCGAGAATTCTAACGCCAAGTCAGTGTGCTGTAAAATGTATAGAGAATATTTGTTCCAAAATATATTTTGGTTTAAGCCTTGCATTCTTTGTAGCCTCACAAATACAACATTTGGGCTAACATACATTTAGTCGTTTAGCAAACGTTTTTGTCCAAAGTGACTCATAAAAGAGGAGGCATTAAGCGAACTGATTTCATACAAAACAGATCAATTAGGATTGATCTGTAGTCATGCAAACAAATCTTTATGGAATATGTTCAATTAAACTGTTAATATTTTAATATTGGGTAAAATAACTCAATAAAACTTTGATAAATGGATAAATAGTCTAAAAAGATAAACAAAATGTTCTTTAAAGTTATTTGCTGCTATATTAATAATTTCTCATTTGTTTGTACTGTATTACTGAAAATGACTACACTCAAAAAAAAATATGTCTGCCAAATTGTTTCAACCAATTTGTGTTTGGATTTAAACAAACAAATTAAGTTTAGTAATGTTCAACCTAATATGTTTGTTTAAATTTAGCACAAATAAATTGTTTACAACCTTAACATAAAAGAATAGTAAGTCCAAGGAATCATCTTTGAATATTTTTTTTCAGTGTACTGTAAGTTAATATGTCTTTAACACCTCTTCGGCAGCAGATCATCACAGCTTTGAAAAAAGTTAAAACGGTTAGAATTTTATCCTAAAACTGTTTTTCATCTTTAAAAAAAGGATTACACAGGTATGAAAATATATATGGGGGCGTTGTTTATGTATAATCAGATTTGTGTGCATTCAAATAAATATAATGCATTAATGGAACATTGCGAATTGTTTATTACAATTTGATCTTTTGGTAACACATTAGTATCTTATTAACTATTAAAACATTAGAAATTGATGAGGAATATGTTACAGTTGCTAAAGTTTTAATGGTCCTTTTATTTATTACTATTTATTTCTATTTCACTACCATAATGGGACTTTCCATGTTTCTGCACACACATTTTTGCCAGAATGTAAACAAATAAAAACCTTACTGTGAACTTTACATAATTGCTACTTAAAAAGTGTTTTTTTATCATCATTATTAAAAACATTTAATCAAAATTACTCCTAAACTTCAAAATGCTTGCTTGTTTTAATACAAATTTGGCTCTACCATCATGTCTTATAAATCAAATCATTGAAAATGTAGCCCAGCAGTTGAGTTCTGAATCCAAATGTAATATTTAAAAACAGATATGCTGTATCATGATTAACAAGTCACATAAATATTTGTCTGTTCTACTTTTCCATTCACGTTGCCTTTTTTGGGGTTGTCAAACCCCTGTAGGTTTCTTAGATCGAAGCCTATGGCAGTTATATGAACCCAAATCTGTCACATAAATAGGGGTTTGTAAAAATGTGCTATAAAAGAAATTCCTAATCTTAACTGGTTTTGTTTAAATCATTAATGAAAATGAATGAATCAGTATCCTGTAAAACCCAAAAAGTTAAGGTAACTCAAACCATTTAAGGAAACTGATTGCAACAAACCATTTAAGTTTAAAAATGAATTGTAATGAGTACTTTGAACTTAATCCATTCGAGTAAACGAAGCAATTTAAGCACAGTATAAAACCCAATAAATGAGGAGAACTCAAACCAACTGAGTACTGTAAAGCCCAATAAGTTTGAGGAAACCGAGTGCTTAAACCATTTGAGTAAATAAATAAATAAATATATATATATATATATATATATATATATATATATATATATATATATATATATATATATATATATATATATATATATATATATATGAGTACTGTGAACTTACTCCATTTAAGTTGAAGTAATGATGTATTCAATTAACTCATTATGTTTAACACTGAGTTCAAAACTTTTTTTCAGATGAGCAGAAGTAACTTTTAGTCAATTTTGAGTTAACTACACTCATTTGATAAAGTTGAATGTTGGGTTTTAGAGTGTATGCGTTTGGTTACATGCATAATATTTAAGACATATTTTAGATGCAAACAGCTGCGTAAAACTTGTAGACATACCCACTGTATCCACTATTTTGCAGCTTTAAAGTCAATCACAGAAATCAAGATCTTACCTTTGCATGTGTTCTGTGTTTCAGATGGAGTGCTTTGTAAAAGACAGAGACTTAAGAGGGTCACACATCTCCAGAAAATCTCCATCTGATGGATTCTAAGTGCTCACACAATGCTGGTGAAAATGGCAAATCCACTGCTTTTCGTTATGTCACTGTTTTGTATGGCAAATGTAGACTTCAGCGAAACACATGATAGAAACAGGAAGTTTCCATTCTCTCCCTGCAACCTTTGTGGTTGATGTTATTTGCAAGTTTCATAAAGCACGTTTAGTTCAGGGTGTCCTACATAGCATTATACAGCAGCTGGTGTTTCCTCAGTGAGGGGAGGTAAAGGAGACCCTGCAGGGGGTTTCTTGTTTGTTTGAGGAAATGACAGGGAGCTATTTAGGGTTAAACTAGGTTGGTTCTTTAGAGTTACAGTGATATGTATCACATGAACGAGAGATAAAGGAAAAAAATAGTGAGCACCTGCGAGGACTCACTACAGAAAATTACACATTCTTCATCTGAAAAATAAAATCTTGCATGCATTTCTTTAAAAATAAGCAGTTTTTACTGAACAGAGTGACACATTCTAAAATGGGTTAAAAAAATGTAAGTTAGTACGATTTCAAGTTTCCTGTTTTCAATCTAAAGCTGAGTGCACGTCAGCAGCAGTGCACTTTATGATCTCTATGGCAACCAAATCAAATAACAGAAACTGTCTTCAACCCACAATGCTGATGATGAGCTGTTTTCATAGTACTTTTCCCTCGATGGAAAGAAAGAGTCTGATCAGTCAAGTTTCCTCTCATATAATGAGAAGCATGCAAATAATGAGGTTTTTGGTCTTTTTTGTAATACTGGACCTAGTTTTATGACCCATACATACACTTTAAATCCAGCTCCTGTGTGAACCACGCTCATGTGATAAAATGAAAATATGTTTACAGAACTTCCCATGGGCAAGTAATGCTTCCAAACAGAAAAAGCTGAACCATCAGAATATTTAACTCATTATATTCCATCTCATATTAACACAAATACATTGCTCATGACGTTTATAAAGAGAACTTGTACAGAGAAACTGAATAAATGTAAATATTTTTAAGTATTATTATAAATTATACAACCTTAAATCATAAAAAGTTGGAAAATGCAAATAAAAAAGAATGTAGTGATTTCAAGCTTAGTTTGACTTTTATTATTGCAGACATTACAACAATTATTTAATCCTCATGATTTTATTTTTATTTATTTTTTTTCAAAATCAACATATTTCGATTTTGGTTCTTGCAGCACATTTAAAATAAAAAGGTAGTATAGGAGCAATTTAGCGCTAGGAATCAGGTAAAGAGAAAAAAAAACCATGCAAAAAAAAAAAGTTCTAGTCCTGTAGGAGCAAAGATGGGCAGAGGATTGCCAGTTAGCCAACAAATCCATGAAAAAAAATGTATTGAAATGTTTAAAAACAATGTTCACCAAAGAATGATATTAGAACATTTGGATATTTTACCTTCAACCATGCATAACAAAATTAAAAGATTCAAGGATTCTAAAGAAATCTTAGTGTGTAAAGGACAAAAGCGCAAGCCTAAGCTGAACTACATTGATCCCTGATCCCTCTAGCGGCACTGTGTCAAAATGGTCATTCATCTATAAGAGATATCACAACATGGGCTCAGGACTACTTTTCATTGTATTTTCATTTTACATTTCATCAACTGTTGTTAAGAATGTCACACTCTAATCTAAACATTTCTATATTTTATTTGATATATTGATCACTCCAGCCATTGAAAAGAGAACTGTTTCTGTCAGAAAGAGATAAATGAGAATAGTGTTTGCATAAATGAGAACACTAGTGAGCAGTTTATGAAGGCCATATCACTGGCAGCAAGCATACCTGCAGACTCTGTTAAGTCTCTATTAGATTTGTTTAACTCTAAAGTTAAGATTGTCATAGATGACATTGCTCCTGTTAAAATCAGGAAGATGACTGGGAGACAGAAAGAACCTTGGACAAGGTCAACAAAGGGAAAGATGATTAAAAGAAAACTTGAGTGTACAGGAAGGAAGACAAAACTAGTAGTCCATTATAACATCTATAAAGACAGTCTTCATGCTTTTAATATGGAACTAAACACTGCTAGGTAGACTATATTTCAGACCTTATAAACAGCAATTAATTAATGCTCGCACCCTCTTTGCAATGGTAGAGAGACTCACAACCCCCCAGACAAGCTCAACAACAACTTAAGAAATCAGACATTATGTCTGATTTTATGGCAATTGATGATAAAATCTTAGAAGAGTTTGTGCAAATTAGAAACATCAACCTGCATTCTTGACACTCCCCACATCATTCTTCAAAACAGTGTTTAACTGTTAAAAACGGATCTCCTAAAAGTGGATATTCTCCTAAAAGTGGAAGTTTCACTTCTCTCAGGGATTTTTCCAAACTCACCTAAGACTGCAGTTGTTAAAGGCCTCTTAAAAAAGAGGAACTTGGATAATACCCTATTGAGCAATTACAGGCCAATTTTAAATATCCTTTTTATTGGCAAAATCACTGAAAAAGTAGTTTTTAACCAGGTTAACACATTCTTAAGCTCCAAAGGATGTTTAGACCATTTTCTATCTGGTTTCAGAGCACATCATAGTACAGAGAGCACTCTTATAAAGATAATTAATGATATCCGCCTAAATACGGATTTAGCCAAACTAACAGTGGTATTACTCGATCTCAGTTCTGCATTTGACACTGTCGATCACAGCATAATTTGGGTAGGCTGAAAAACTGGGACGGTCCTCAAATGGTTCAGATACCTTGAAGGCAGAGGTTACGATGTCAGTATGTGACCATAGATCGAGGAAGACACCCATGACATTGAAGAAATTAACAATTGGCCAAAATTTCTTCAGTTAAACAAAGAGAAAACTGAAGTCACTGCATTTGGGAACAGAGATTAGGTTCTCAAAGTGAATGTGTATCTTGGCTCTAAAGGTCAGACAACAAAAAATAAGGTCAAGAATCTTGGTGTAATTCTCAGATATGTGTTTTAATAGTCATGTCAAAGCAGTAACTAAATCAGCATAATATCAACTTAAAAACATTGCAAGAATTAGATGCTTTGTTTCCAGTGAAGACTTATAAGCAGCAGGATTATTGTTATGAACTCCTCACTGGCCTTCTCAAAAAGACAGTTGTAGCTTACCCAGAACGCTGCTGCCAGGATTCTGACCAGAACGAGGAAATCAAAGCACATCACACCTGTACTCAGGTCTTTACACTGGCTCCCAGTTACATTCAGAAAAAGATTTTAAAGTATTTTTACTTGTCTATAAATCATTAAATGACCTAGGACCTCAATACATTACAGATATGCTGACTGAATACAAATCTACAACAGATGACTCAGATCATTATAGGATCATATAAACTAGAAATTCCAAGGGTTCAGTCAAAGCAGGTTGAATCAGGCTTCAGCTACTACGCCCCCTGCCGCTGGAAACAGCTTCCAGAAATGATGTGCTCAGTGTTGCCAGATGCAGCTAACACCTGCTGAAAACCAAAAATCCCCGCCCAACAATCTGTAGCCTATATTAAACATCATTTAGGAAATATTTAAAAAAGAAAAAAAATTCAAAGGGGGGCTAATAATTAGTTTAACTAGGCAAGTTAGAGTAATTAGGCAAGTTATTGTATAACGATGGTTTGTTCTGTAGACAATCTGAAAATATTGCTTAAAGGGGCTAATAATTTTGACCATAAAATGTGTTTTAAAAAAATAACTGCTTTTTTTCAAGGCAAAATAAAACAAATAAGACTTTCTCCAGAAGAAAAAAATAATATCAGACATATGGTAAAAATGGCAGACGCATTGGCGCATTAGGTAGTGCTGTCGCCTCACAGCAAGAAGGTCGCTGGGTCGAGCCTCAACTGGGTCAGTTAGTGGTTCGGAGTGAAGTTTGCATGTTCTCCTTGCGTTCGCGTGGGTTTCCTCCGGGTGCTCCGGTTTCCCCAACTGTCCAAAGACATGCGGTACAGATGAATTATAAGCTAAATTGTCCGTAGTGTATATGTGTGTGTGTGAATGTGTGTGTCTGTGTGAATGAGTGTGTGGATGTTTCCCAGAAATGGTTTGCAGCTGAAAGGGCATTCGCTGCGTAAAAACGTGCTGGATAAGTTGGTGGTTCATTCCGCTGGCGAACCCAGATTAATAAAGGGACTAAGCCAAAAAGAAATGAATGAATGAATGAATGAATGATATGGTGAAAATTTCCTTGCTTATACATAATTTGGGAAATATTTAAAATAGAAAAATAAATCAAAGGGAGGCTAATTCTGACTTCAACAGTATATATTGCGTTCCTCCGGGTGCTTCGGTTTCCCCCACAGTCCAAAGTCATGCGGTACAGGTGAATTGGATAGGCTAAAATGTCCTTAGTGTATGAGTGTGAATGAGTCTGTATGTATTCCCAAAGATGGGTTGCAGCTGGAAGGGCATCTGCTGCATAAAACAAGTGTTGGATAAGTTGTCGGTTCATTCCGCTGTGGTTGCCTCTGATTAATAATGGGACTAAGCTGAAAAGAAAATTTATATATATATATATATATATATATATATATATATATATATATATATATATATATATATATCAGAAGGATCAGTAGGGGTTAAGAATCAAGTTTTATATTGTACATATTTAGCATTAATATTACCAAAGTATGTAAATTAAAGAACATGCCACAAAGAAAAAAATATATTTTGTTATCTTTGATATCAATAAACTTCAAGTGATGGACTGTGTTGTTCTAAACTCTTAATCTAAGTGAATAAGACCACAAACTGTACAATCAACCTGGAAAACGCCAACCCTAACACAGAAAACATTTTTTTAAAGGCATTAAAACTTAATATCTCCTTAAAGTACTTTAATTAAATATATTTCACAATATCATAATACTTAGCTCGTGGGGTATAGTGCACTGAAATTTAACAATGTACACAACAGAAGATGTGTACTCACCATGCACTGATGATAACAGGAATCGCAAGCATACATTACATCTAAGTCAATAAGTTTCCTTGAACCAATCAAAGACTTGTAGACTGATAGGAATGCCTTTAAAACGGTCCATTCGTGTTCTTTTTTCAACATTTTTGTAAAGGTCCTGCTTGTCTATAATTGTATGAATTTTGTTTAATTGTTTACACACTTGCTTGTTTTGTTTCTTAATTAATGTTTATTGTTGTATTTTTATTATGTACCTTCTATCACCCTGGCA